CCTACTTTATACATTTAATTGGATGATTATGCATGATGGTACCTCATAAGTGAAGAAGAATGTGGTTTCACTTTCAACCCTTAATGTTGGTGAAGTGTCCTCTTAAATGTTGTGGGCAAATTCTTGGTGATTGATTTGGAGTATACAAAATGTTATCAATCACCTAGAAAGCATACAAACCAACTAATCCCTTTTTCTTTTTCTGTTTTTTAGTAGGCAGGTCAATTGATTGGTTTGAGGCAAAGGTGGTGTAGGGTATGAGGTGAGAAAAAGCCATGCATTTCATGTAATGATTTTTTGAAATGGTTTAGATTTTAAAAACCCATCTTTATGTAATGATTTTTTTAAATAGGTTAGATTTAAATGTGTTTCTAAATAGTTTTGATTCCAAAAATATTAAAATGATAAATGAACCAGCACAATTATTAAAATGGGTACCATCTGTTGGCCTTAGTCAAGTCTAACCGCCTTGCTACCCAGCCAAGTTGTGCACCATGCTTTGCTGTCTAGCCAAGTCAAGTCGTCTGATTATGTTGAAACCCCCAAATATGCTGCAGATTAGCATTAAGGTCATATTAATGCCTCGCACGTGCCATGTTGTCCATACTTTGGCCAAAGGTCGAATGCCACTAGAGGTGCAACTCCGGTGGGTTCGGTCAGATTGGAAGGTTATCCAAGCCCAGCTCAAGTTGTGCTAAGACGTGTCTAGGCCCACCCAAACCCGAATTGTAACGCGAGATTGCTTGCCCAAGCCTAAGCCCGGCCCCAATTAAACCCAAATTGCCTGAATTGTAAATGAATTTCAATTTTTTTTTACATTATTAAACTATTAAAATTTGACTATATATATATATATTTAATAGAAAATCATTAATACTATCAAAACAAATAATTTATATAATGTAAGAGATGCTGCTATAGTAGTCTTTACAATTTATGAGTAAAAAAAATGAAATAGGCATTTGTATTGGGATGAAGAATGTTGAGTAGTAGTAGTAGTGCAGTGACCCACCGAATGCTGTGGAGATAACAATGTGATGCCATTGACAAACTTTATCCGCAGATAGAGATGAGGACAATGAAATAATCCTGATAAAATGATTCTCATACTTATCATCCTCTTCTCACCTTTTAATTTTTCTTTGTTTTGTCTCATATGCTTCATGTTACCAAATGTTTAGTATTAGCTAGACCCTTTATTTAGTGGGGGAAGAAAAGACAATTGGTGATATTATTTAGTGAGACAAAAAAATAATAACACATTTATTTACCAGAGTTGCTACGTAGCTCGAAAAACGCTTGGCTCAAAACAAATATTTATTTTTTAGAAAATTATTAATAAAATCAAAACAAATAATTTATATAACATAAAAGAGATGTCGCTATAGAAATTTTTACAATTTATGAATAAAAATTAAAAAATGTAAGATTTTGTGTTACTTGTGTATATAATATACATTCAACATGATTTAATAATTTAAATTGCTTTAATATCATGTAATGGCTAATAATTTATATATATTTAATATTTTTATATATCTATATATGTATAATTTGGGTTTTGGGCTGCTTGGGTTATTTGACGTCTTTGCCTAAGTCCGCCCAAATTTAATTCGGGCTTTTGAATTTTTGTCCAAACACATACTGAATTTGAAAATATCTTGTCCAAGTCCTAAAAAAATTCGAGCTGAGTTCAGGTTGCTCCGATTGAGCCTGCCCAAGTTGCATCCCTAAATGCCGTTGCTGAATGATACAACTGATTGCCCACCTTATTGTCTTGACATGCCTCTCTCATGCTGCGGTCCAGGCCTGACATAGGTGCAAGGTGTCACTAAGTGTCAGGCCGCCAACTCCCAAATATTAACGTGCTAACAGTAGAGTTCCTCCACAATCCTACTTAATACTGGTGGCGGACTTAGAATTTTAATTCGGGGGACAATATTAAGATAAGATTTTGACGTAGATTGGTTTAGCACATAAAGTTTAATTTGGCCTGATTTGATAAAACAATAATAATTATTATTAATGCTTTAAAATAATTCAGTTATGATACATTTCAATGAAAATTTTAAAATGTTTTTTTTTTTTTTTTTTTTTTTCTCTGGTTACAGGAAAATCCTCCATATCCTCCTGCAGGTCCAAGGCAACGTCCCTTACAGAGATCACCAGGGTGTCCTGTTAGCCGTTCCAAGCGAGGGGACTATAATCTAGAAACTTGCCTCGACCTCCCAAGACAAGCTCCGCTTAAGTTAAACTTGCACAGCGGGGGTGCATTGAACCCATACCAAGTGCTGATTAGACAATTTGAGATCCAACCTCCTAACCAACTGTGCTTCGCCTAGGAGATTGGCCCAAGGAAAAGGGAATTGAACCTGTGACTTTAGGACTTAAACCCCAAGTCTTAACCACAATGCTACCCACCCTTGAATTTGTTACTATCTTACCAGCCACCACCCCCACCTTAACATCACTGTTAATACCATCACTATAATATTATTTTTAAATTTGCAATTGAGCACTTTTTTTTTCTTGATGGTATTATTTTTCATTACTTTTAAAAGTGATTTATCATTCATTAGTGCTATTAAACGTTTGTTTACCAATGGAGCCCATTAGTGTGAGAAAGCTAAGCCAAGCTATGAATAAATCAAAAACTCCTTGATTTTTTTATTTTTTATTTTGTCGGTAAGTAATTAAACACGTTGACTAATTTTGCACCACTCAAAATAAATAAATAAATCACATACCATGTCATTTCATTTCATCACATCATTCGATGACATTGGTTGGCCACACAATTGAGCACAAATTTTGTAAGTATGCAATTTGTGAGCCACTCTTGTGCATAGTTGGAGCTACATATGTGTCATGATCATGATATGATAGAGACAACATATGCATCAGAATTGCCTCAAGGGCCACTACTTTTCAAGATTTGATTGATTTAGTTGGGGAGTGTTTGAGCAATTTATTCACTCGAGTGGACTTGACCATATAACAAATAATTTTTTTTACACAATTCTAGTTATAATTTTTGTGTCTTTAATTATAATTTATTACAGTATATTATTAATTATAATTTATTATAATATTAATTATAATTCAAAATTTTTTTATTATATTTTATATGATATTTGATTATAACTCAAATTTTTTTTAGTTATCACTTTTTATAATATTGAGTTATGTCATTTGTGATAATTAAATGGTGTTTTGGAAAGTTAGTAAAAAATTAACTTTTAAACTTTTTTAGTGACTTTTTTAACAAAAAGTTAGGTCGTTTTGGGTAAAACAATTGATTTTTTTGGCTAAAAAAATTAAAAAGCCAAAAAATTGACTTTTTATCATTGTTCCCAAAATGATCCTAAATTCATAAATAACATAACTTGCATATGATAGTATTATCTTTTATTTAATTCATATTGTGATGTGTTCAATTTAAAATTTTAAAAAAGAATAATAGTAAAAAAAAAAAAAGACTTGTTAAGTTTATTTGTATATTTATTTTTATGAAATACTATTTTCACAATATTTTATATAAAAAATTATCTTCAATTCGACAGATCATGTACCAAAACCAAGTTAAATTTTTTCATGCACACACATTGTTCCTCTAAACCTTGCAAGAGTAAATTATTCCCGTAATTCTTATTTTATATAGTTAGGGCATATTTGGTTAACAAGATTAGAGTGTGAGATTGGAATTATTAATCTGTAAACCTAATAATCCTGTGTTTATTTTAAAATTTTGTTTCAGGATTATTAATCTAATGGATAATTAATCCAACAAATTTGTAGGATTATTAGTAACGGAGTAGGGATAAGATTATATATCCTGAGTTAGGAAATAAAATAAAAAAACTCTTTTACTTACTAATTCAATACAAATCAAACAATGGATAAAGAGATAATTTATCTTACTAATCTAGTTAATAGTAAATATCACACTAATTTAATAAAATTATTAATACATTCACTATTAATCTTCTGATTCAAACATAGCTAGTATACTTAGAGTATACTAGATTGTATAAATATTATACAAATGCAAGGTTGTTGATTGTGCATGACTGCACAAAACCATCATGAAATGGTTACTCAAACCATGGAAAGCATTTTGGTTTGCACAAAAAGACAGCAAGAAAAATAGCCAAGGCCTCAGCCAGAGCGTGGCCGTTTAAAGGGACAGTAAGCACAGCAATATTCCCATATCCCAGTATTTATGAGTTCGTTTGGCATGAAAATTTGAGTTGGATTACAATTATTTCAGTCATAAAAATATAAAATAAACTTTTTAACTTAATAAAATAAAATATCACATTTAAATCGTAATTATTTTATTTTCTTCTCTTATGAAAGTAAAAAAAATCAAAAAACTTATCTCAAATAACTTTTTAATCCCAAATTAAAATATCCAAAAAACCAACTCATATCTCAAACAAAGGCTATATAATACAAAAAGAATTTTCCAAGAACCAAAATTGCAATCTAACAAGAAAATTCAGCTCAAAAAATTGAAAAACCAAAAAACTCATCTCAAACAACTTTTTAATCTCAGAATAAAATATCCAAAAAATCAACCCACATCCCAAACAAAAACTACATAATACAAGAACAATTTTCCAAGAACCAAAATTGCAATCTAACAAGAAAATCCAGCTCAAAAAATTGATATTTTTCAAAAGGTAAAATAATGATAAATGATAAAAAAAAATTGCATTTGATATCATTGGAGGGTCAACCCTCAACTTCAGACATGTCCTTGTGGGTAACGAAATTATAAAAAAAGGAAGCTACTCAAAACTTAAATGAAAATTTTTCTATGAGAAACTACAACTTCAACATTGTATTCCTCTACAACACCCTCCCCCACCTAGCCCTCACTAAAAACCAAAATATAAAATAAAAATAAAAATAAAAATTGTCATTTCCTATAATTTTTTGCTACTAAAAGATGGAAATAAATAAATAAAAATAAGTGCATGAAATTAATAATACAATCAAGCCCAGATTGCAAGTAAAGACATCAATCCAGCCCCAAGGAAGAGTGCAAAATATGATACGACTTGCAGCCTCACATTGCAGCTCATCCTCTTGCTCAAGAAATCAGCTGCAATTAAGTCCACCAAAGCCATGTAGACTAGAATTCCGGCAGATATGGAATCCAATGTGCCTTCAATGATCAGAGCTCGGGGGCTATCAGGGTTATAAAATGATGAAATCCCGGTTCCAATCGCAATCCCCATCGGGGTTGTGAAGGCAAAGAAACAGGCCATTAGTGTTGTATGGAGGGTCCGAAACTGTGCTTGGGATATGCATCCTCCGAGCGCAAATCCTTCAAAGAACTGATGGAATGATAGTGCTGCTATCAGGGGTCTTATGGTACAAGGGCTTTGTGAAACTCCGAGTGAAAGCCCGATAATGATTGAATGTGATACAATCCCAAGTTCAAGAACCTGCAAAAAAGAAGAGGACAATGCTCAACACAAGTTTATAAAAGCCAGGTTTTCAATTGACTCCACAAAAAATTGATCCTAGATGTGTGGAAAAATTCAAATGAACATTGGTTGAGCAGCAATGAAGATCAATACTTAGAAAACACACCAGCACTATAACTGTGTCGAAGACAAATCACAAAACAACGTTGAATACAATAAAACAGATGTCAAGTGAGTTTATGAACCACCAATACCGGATGCCCCAAATAAAGAAAGCAAGAAAGATGAATTGAGTTTATTTGCATTGGACCAAGTCCCGTTTGACAAATGTCAAGTGATCGTCAACCGAGCATCTAACTACTACTATTTCTTGTCATTTATTTTTTCGGGCATTTCTTTTAACCAGCCATTGAGAGTGGAACTCATCCATCTAAGATAAAATTCAAACCAATTTCCACTCGAAGGTACTGAATAAAAAAATCCAGTCCCTTACAATGCAAATTGTAGGGTCTATATATACATACAAGTCATTGTTTCGATGAACTCAGAACATTTTTTTTTTTTTGACAGATAAGCAAACTTTATTAAAAAAGCATTAAGGCAATACAAAGAATACAAAAATCAAGCCTATCAACAACCCAAAAATCTAACTAATCAATTCCTCAACAAAATCTATAAAAGCCAACACATCCAGATCAACCGTGACAGTGACCCAACTATGCAGCACAGTGAGCAGCTGCCGCTCCAGCCACGGAACCGAGTGAGACACCCCCCGAAAAATGCGCCTATTCCGCTCTAACCAAATCAACCACATCAAGCAATGACCCGCAAACATCCACCCCTTTCGGTGCCTCTTCCCAACCCTCCCCCTAGCCCAACTTTGCAACACCGCCAACACCTAACCCGGCTGAACCCACACCAAACCAAAAGTAGCAACAATGAGCATCCAAAGACAAGCTACCGGACAATGAACAAGCAAATGATCCACTGACCCTGCATCCCCACAACACATGCAGCACCAATTAACTAAAATGTGCCAGAAATTCACTAATTAATGTTCGAATAATTTACTGATTAATTTACTGGGAATTAACAATGTAATTCACGAATTTTTTTTTGATAATTTTATGAGTAAGTTATTATGAATTTGCTGAGTAATTTATACAGAATTTTCTTAGAATTTATTAAATAATTTACTGAGAATTTACAGATAATTTACAAAGTAATTTATAAAGAATTTATTGAAAACTTAACGAGTAATTTATTGAAAATGTACTACGAATTTATGGAGTAATTTGCTGAATAATTTACTTAGAAAATACTTTGAATTTACCAAGAATTTATATATAATTTTCTGAGAATTTATTGAGTAATTTGCTCCTAATTTACTGATTAATTCACAAAAAAAACATTCTTGTAATTTTTTGAGAATTTACTAAGAATTTTCTGATAAATTACTAAGAATTTGATGAATAATTTATAGAGAATTTTACGTGTAATTTATTGAGAAATTTCTTGAGTAATTTAGCAAGTATTTACTGAGAATTTATCGAGTAATTTACTGATAAATTACTGAATAATTCGCTCATTAATTCACTTGTAATTTACTGAGAATTTAAGGAGTAATTTAATGAGAATTTACTCAGTAATATGCTTAGAATTTGTTAAATAATTTACTAAGAATTTACAGATAATTTACCGTGTTATTTTTTTAGAATTTACAGAGTAATTTTCTAATAATTTACTTAGTAATTTGCTAAGTAATTGAGCAAGAATTTTTTGAGAACTTATCGATAATTAACTGAGTAATTTACAGAGAATTTGTCGAGAATTTACGGAGTAATTTACTGGAAATTAACCTATGAATTTACTTAGTAATTTTTTTAGAATTTACACAGTAAATTACTAAGAGTTTATTTAGAATTTACTGAGAATTTGTTGAGTAATTTTCTAGGAACTTACCAATCATTTACGAAGCAATTTACTGAGAATTTACCGAATTATTTACCACGAATTTACTATAACTTTAATGGTAATTTGCTGAGTAATTTATTGAAAATTTACTGTGAATTTAATGAGTAATTTACTCATTATTTATTGAGAATTTTCTTAGAATTTATTGAAAATTTTCAGAGTAATTTACTTTGAATTCATTGAGTAATTCACCGATAATTAACTGAGTAATTTATAGAGAATTTATTGAAAATTTAACGAATAATTTACAGAGTAATTTTTTAAAAAATTTCAGTGAATTTACTTAGTAATTCACAAAAAAATTTCTAATGATTTTCTATAAATTTACGCAGAATTTTTGAATAATTTACAGAATAATTTTCTGAGAATTTTGCGTGTAATTTATTGAGAATTTTACTGAATCATTTAATGAGAATTTACTGAGTAATTTGTTGAGAATTTACTGCGAATTGACTAAGAAATTTACTGATAAATTGTTAAGTTCTTCACTGGGTAATTTAGTTGGAAATTAGTAAGTAATTTATTGAGAATTTTCTGAGTAAGTTACTAAGAATTTATTGATAATTTATTTAGACTTTATGGATTAATTTATTGAGAATTTACTAAGTAATTTACTTAGAATTTATTGAATAATTTATTGAGAATTTATAAAGTAATTTACTGAGAATTTACAGGAAATTCACTAATTAATATTCGAATAATTTACTGAGTAATTTACTGAGAATTAACAAAGTAATTCATGATTTTTTTTTGATAATTTTATGAGTAATTTATTATGAATTTACTGAGTAATTTGTACAGAATTTTCTTAGAATTTATTAAATAATTTACTGAAAATTTACAGATAGTTTACAAAGTAATTTATGGAGAATTTATTGAAAACTTAACGAGTAATTTATTGAAAATGTACTACGAATTTATGAAGTAATTTGCGGAATAATTTACTAAGAAAATACTTTGAATTTACCAAGAATTTATATAGAATTTTCTGAGAATTTATTGAGTAATTTGCTCATAATTTACTGATTAATTCACAAAAAAAACATTCTTGTAATTTTTTGACAATTTACTCAGAATTTTCTGATAAATTACTAAGAATTTGCTGAAAAATTTATTGAGAATTTTACGTGTAGTTTACTGAGAAATTTCTTGAGTAATTTAGCAAGAATTTACTGAGAATTTATCGAGTAATTTACTGATAAATTACTAAATAATTCACTCATTAATTTACTTGGAATTTACTGAGAATTTAAGGAGTAATTTATTGAGAATTTACTCAATAATTTGCTTAGAATTTATTAAATAATTTACAGATAATTTACCGTGTTATTTTCTTGGAATTTACAGAGTAATTTTCTAATGATTTACTGAGTAATTTGCTAAGTAATTGACCAAGAATTTTTTTAGAACTTATCGATAATTAACTGAGTAATTTACAGAGAATTTGTCGAGAATTTACCGAGTAATTCACTGGGAATTCACCTATGAATTTACTTAGTAATTTATTTAGAATTTACTCAGCAAATTACTAAGAGTTTGTTGAGAATTTACTGAGAATTTGTTGAGTAATTTTCTAGGAACTTACCAATCATTTACGAAGCAATTTACAGAGAATTTACCGAGTTATTTACCACGAATTTACTATAACTTTAATGGTAATTTGCTAAGTAATTTATTGAGAATTTACTGTGAATTTAATAAGTAATTTACTCATAATTTATTGAGAATTTTCTTAGAATCTATTGAAAATTTTCAAAGTAATTTACTTTGAATTCATTGAGTAATTCACTGATAATTAACTGAGTAATTTATAGAGAATTTATTGAAAATTTAATGAATAATTTACAGAGTAATTTGCTGAGTAATTTTTTTTTAAAAATTTCAGTGAATTTACTGGGTAATTCAAAAAAAAATTTCTAATGATTTTCTAAGAATTTACGCAGAATTTTCTAATAATTTGCAGAATAATTTTCTGAGAATTTTGCGTGTAATTTATTAGAATTTCACTGAATAATTTAATGAGAATTTACTGAGTAATTATTGAGAATTTACTGCGAATTGACTAAAAAAATTACTGATAAATTGTTAAGTTCTTCACTGGGTAATTTAGTTGGAAATTACTATGTAATTTATTGAGAATTTACTGAGTAAGTTACTAAGAATTTATTGACAATTTACTTAGACTTTATGGATTAATTTATTGAGAATTTACTAAGTAATTTACTTGGAATTTATTGAATAATTTACTGAGAATTTATAAACTAATTTACTGAGAATTAACAAAGTAATTCACGAAATTTTTTTTGATAATTTTATGAGTAATTTACTATGAATTTACTGAGTAATTTATACAGAATTTTCGTAGAATTTATTAAATAATTTACTGAAAATTTACAAAGTAGTTTATAGAGAATTTATTGAAAACTTAACGCGTAATTTATTGAAAATTTACTACGAATTTATGGAGCAATTTGCTGAATAATTTACTAACAAATTACTTTGAATTTACCAAGAATTTATATAGAATTTTCTGAGAATTTATTGAGTAATTTGCTCATAATTTACTGATTAATTCACAAAAAAAAAAAGTACTCTTGTAATTTTTTGAGAATTTACTCAGAATTTTCAGATAAATTACTAAGAATTTTTTGAATAATTTATAGAGAATTTTACGCCTAATTTACAGAGAATTTGTCGAGAATTTACCGAGTAATTTACTAGGAATTTGCTTAGTAATTTACTGGGAATTTACTTAGTAATTTACAGATAAATTTAGTGAGTAATTCACCGAACAATTTACTATGAATTTACTTCAGAATTTATTTATAATTTACTCAGTAAATTACTAAGAGTTTACTGAGAA